TAGCTGCCCCCCCCTGATATTGACGTTAAACTGGGAATATATCATGGACGTAGGGCCTAGGCACTGTTTAGCATAGACCTTGATGCTGATAATGCACCGATCGTATTGCATACAGAGTCATGTTTTTTAGGGATTTAATAACTTAACGATACAAATCCTCGTAGTACAAGTGTTTAGAGGCCTTTTCTCAAGTACTACGCCATTGCAAACTATAGCAACTTCAGATATTAACTGATGATTGTTAAAAATGGGTAACGCCAGCTTTTTCTACGAGAAAAGTCCAACAATTGAGTCTATCAAACATATTTGTTGCTATTCAGATCATGTTCATTGTGTCCGCTTTTGTCGTGGTAAACATATAGTTGTTATGCCTTACCGACAGGCGCGGATCCAGGGGGGCCGAGCGGGCCTTGGCCCCCCCCCCCCCGCAAAAAAAAAAAAAAAAAAAAGAGAGAGAAGAAGAAAAAGAAGGGAGAAAGGGAAAAAGGAGAAAAAGGGAAAGAAAGAAGAGGAAGAAGAAAAGTAAAAGAGGAAGAAGGAGATCGGGGGGGGGGCCTTGCCTCCCAGGCTGTTAACCCCCCCCCCCCCCAATCAAAAAAAAAATAAGAGAGAAAGAAGGAAAGGGAAAGAAAAAAAAGGAAAAAGAGGAGAAACTGGCGTACTGATAGAGGGGGGGGGGGGGCTTGGGGGAAATCAAATTCAAACGTGGTTTATTTCTGATTCCACAACGGTGTATTACAAATAATGCTGAAATGACATAATTTCCGAAATTTTTCCTCACTTTTTAGTAAATTATACGTTTGTATGTGTTTGTTGGAAAATAAAAAAAAAATCTTAAATTTACAACCAGGCAAAAAATATGATTCTTAATATTCCTACATGTCAGGGCCCGAGGTACGGCGGGGATCTAGAGCCTCGAGGCATCAAAATATGCTCATCTGACCGTGATTAAATGCCTAAAACCCCTAAGCTTCCGGGGGCCCCCCTGGATTTTATCTAGGGCCCTACGATGGGCCTTTAGATGATCATCTGACAGTAATTTAATGCCTAAAACCCCTGATTTTTTGGGGCTCCGCCCCCTAGACACCACGCCAAATAGTGACTGGCCAGTGTCACAAAATAATAAGGTATACACAAAAATATGCTCATCTGACCTTAATTAAACGCCTAAAACCCCTGAGCTTCCGGGGCCGGCTCCGCCGCCTCGACCCCACCAGGGGCCCTAAGGCGGGCCCCTGAATGCTTATCTGACCGTAATTTATTGCCTTAAACCCCTGAGCTTGCGGGGTCGGACAAGGTATCAAGATGTGTTTATCTGACCGCAGGCGCGTAGCCAGGGGGGGGGGGCGGTCCCCCCCCCCCCCAAATCGGAAGAGGACGTAGGAAGAAAAAGGAGCAGACAAAGAACATCTTTGAAATTCAGACAAGGATTAAGAGTATAGAGAACGGTACAACGCATCGTTTTCTTTCTCTAATAATAAAACGTCAAAGCCTCGCGCAGGAGGGGAGGAGGAGGGGGGGGGGGACTGAATTGAGACGAGGATTCAGAGGCGAGAACGGTAATACGAATCTTTAATGATTTAATGAAACGTAGAAGCTTCCGCGCTTCGCGCAGGAGGGGAAGGAGGAGGAACTGAATTTAGACAAAGATTAAGAGTCGAGAACTGTACAACGAATCGTCTTCTTCGTTAATGATTAAATGAAGATTAAAAGCTTCCGCGCCTCGCGCGGGAGGGGGAACCTGAATTCAGACGAGGATTAAGAGTCGAGAACTGTAAAACGAATCGTCTTCTTTCTCTAATGATTTAATGAAACGTAGAAGCTTCTGCGCTTCGCGCAGGAGGGGGGGGGGGAACTGATTTTAGACAAGGATAAAGGGTCGAGAACGGTACAATGAATCGTCTTCTTTCTTTAATAGTTTAATAAAACGTCAAAGCTTCCACGCTTCGCGCAGGAGGGGGAGGGGAGGGGGGACTGAATTTAGACAAGGGTTAAGAGTCGAGAACTGTACAACGAATCGTCTTCTTTCTCTAATAATTTAATAAATCGTAAAATTTTCCGCGCTTCGCGCGGGAGGAGAAAAACTAAATTCAGACGAGAATTAAGAGTCGAGAACTGTAAAACGAATCGTCTTCTTTCTCTAATGATTTAATGAAACGTAGAAGCTTCTGCGCTTCGCGCAGGAGGGGGAGGGGGGAACTGATTTTAGACAAGGATAAAGGGTCGAAAACGGTACAATGTATCGTCTTCTTTCTTTAATAGTTTAATAAAACGTCAAAGCTTCCACGCTTCGCGCAGGAGGGGGAGGGGAGGGGGGGGGGACTGAATTTAGACAAGAATTAAGAGTCGAGAACTGTACAACGAATCGTCTTCTTTCTCTAATAATTTAATAAATCGTAAAATTTTCCGCGCTTCGCGCGGGAGGAGAAAAACTAAATTCAGACGAGAATTATTTTCGAGAACGGTACAACGAATCGTCTTCTTTCTCTAATAATATAATGAAACGCCAAAGCCTGGGAGGGGGAAACTCCCCCCCCCCCCTGCACCGACCCCCCCCCCCCGCATTACGTCACTGTTGGTCACCATAACGTACCAATATTTGGCTCGCATAATTTCAAATTTGGGCCCCCCCCCCCCCCCCTAAGAAATCCTGGATCCGCGCCTGCTTACCGACATCAATCATTTTCCAAGCTCATCCGTTACAGATATGCCTCTTAAAATGTAATTCGTAATAATGTATGTTTGTGTAAGATATGGTACCAAGACATTCATTCCTCTACATACCCCGTTAGTGCTCTATGTTAGCCCCTTAAAAACACCTTTAACCTCAGAGGGCGTTACCTTTATTACTGAGTCATCCTATATGGACAACAATCAGACAATAAACTACCTTAGGCAACATATAGTTATGAGTAACGATTCCATTTGAAGCTAGTAAATGAATGAGACTTTACAATCACATTCCCGGATACCATTTTTGAAAGCGGAACATGAAAAATAAAAATCAAGATCATTGAAGCGAATACATATATATATATCACCCATACATGTCACCTCAAACGGACAAGTCCTAGCTTTTTTATTTGAATTGATTTGATTTATTTATTTCTGTTTGATTTTCTTTTTCTTTTGCAGTTTTACAAATATATAACAAACAAACATTGCAAATTTACACATGACAAAAGAATATATTATGTAGAATAAAGTTAGGCTGGCTGTAACTAATCGAAAACATCAAACAGGAGGGTTGACAAAGTAAGCGAAGCTTGATAGTATGACTACCCTCAAAGGATACATAATAATACAAATATGGAGGAACAAAATTAGGTAAAAGGGGGAAAAGACAGGAAAAAAAAGAAAAAAGAAAGAGGGGATGCACATCAATATTTACAGATTTATGTGGTAGTTGGTTTCAATTTGATATACAGTATACAGATTTTTTTTTTTTTTTTAAGCAAATTTGAATATTGAGTGGCCAACTTGGGATATAATAGAATGAGAAGACTCGCGAGAAGTCCTGTACGTCACAAACCACATCTACGGTATACATATCTGATTACTGTTTTAAGTTGAAATAGCTTACTAGAGCTTTTATCAGATAAAATATGAAATGAAGAGACACATTAATGTCAACAAATGATTAGAAATCTACACCCTATTTCATACAATACAGTCAAACCTGGTTTAGCAACCCCCTTTATAGTAAGACCATTTGTCTATAAAGACCACATTTATTAATTAAACCTGAATATGGTTTAACATTGAAACCTGTACTAAAGGAACCCGTATATAAAGACTAACTAAAGCTAAATACCACTTTTCATGTATCCATTGAGTGGACTTTATATATAAAAGGTTTCACTGTACATCGGCCTTACCAAAACCTATATTCTCACTTGTTTGGGGTCTTGAATGATGAACGGCTATTTTACCACACATGTATCAACCTTACATGGTATCACTATATAGGCAGAACAAAATGCATCACTCAGTGTCTTGCTCCCAGGCGAAAATGGGTATTTTCCTTCTTCTCAATTCGTCCTGCTAGATAGGATGTATACCATTTGGCAGATGGAAGAAAAAAAGTGTCCCCCCCCCCCCATCTCTTTCAAATGAATAGGCTAAATGAAGGTATGTTGAGTGGTAATAAAGGTTAATGCGTGAACTCACAACATTATAAGCGTATTTTGTAAGTCGTGTCCCAATGGTATAACAGCGGTCTCGTAAACGGGAGGTTCCGGGTTTGAAACCAAGTCGACGCACCAGTGTCGTCTGGTAGAGCATTAATCGGAGAGGACTTTGAGACGTAGGGCCCGTGGTTGCTTACCTACTAGCATAACACGTAACAGGTTAAACAAACAGCCAACCATTACGATCAAACGACTTTCAATGTCTGTCGTGGAAAGACGGCAACGGCACTGCTTAATTTATTCACAAATTGAGAGAAATAGATCATATATCGTAATAGTATCTACCTTTTCATTTGCACCAACGAAGCGAATCAGAAGCTTTGAAATGATATACCTTGAATTACAGAATGCATTGTAAACGCAAATGAGTAACCATTGTGTGTGTTTATTGTTGACTTGGTGGAGCTGTGCATTGTCCATTATTGAACACCGGTACTTCTTTTAAGGTATCTTTTCCCCTTCGTTGTTGCTGTTGTTGTTAATGATAATGGAAAAATGACTAGAATTACAAGAGAGATTGGTCAAAGGAGAGATTATTATAAGCTCCGCATATTGTTACATGTCATAACCTTCTAGATACACACAATTCTAAATCGCCAGTGCAAATTAAAGCACTAAATAAACTAAATAAACGCTTTGTTATGCCGGTTCCTACAAATTTGATGTGCGGGTAAACCCCCAAGGAATTAATTCATCGTAGGTGAATAAATATGTTTAAGCTCTCGCAGGTAATCACTTTTGTATAAACAAAAAATTGTGTGACTATAATTTATTACCCGGACACTGAAACTGCCTTTAGGCGTAACCGCAGCGTCATTATATTAAACATGAATCGTAGTTTGCTTCCAACCCGTTGAATTAATTAACGTGGTAATCCCAAATTGTGTTTATGCGTTTCATATCACTGCGGGAATCTGGTATAAAACCCCTAAAGGCTCTTCTGAGAATACAGGGAGGAATTTTTTTGGATGAATACAATTTTCATCTCATTCGATTGACTCATTCACCTTTCCTATCACCATGCGTCTTTTATTATAGGGGATTATTTCATGTGAGGAAGCATATATGATCGAAGCATGGCATATACTATGTGTATCTGAGTATAATGCATCAGACTTGATTAGTACAGCTTCTGTGGTAGTGACACTGACTAGGTGTGCACCGCCGTTCTCATTCCGGAGCAATATTGAATGATGTATGCTACTGGTTAACGTGTTGACATAGGAAGCATCTATATGGATATTCATCTTTAACCAATTGATTGCTGACGATATTTTATATTTCACTTGGGAGAAGCAAACGAGCAGCATTACTTCACATCAGTCTTCATTAATCGCCTAACGTTTCGAGCTGGAATAGCCATGATTGTAAGTCAAATACATGTACGATCATTCCATAAGATTTGGACCCATCTATCTTCACAAAATTGTGGCACGATATATATATATTAAATATACTTTATTTCAGGGCCTACTATGGAAAGCGGTGATGATGTGGTAGCATCCTAGGTTAAAGAAAATCGTCTTAGTATCAATATTATTATTATTATCATTGTTATTATCATTATTATTATTATTATTATTGTTATTTGTTAGTATTATTATTAATATTATTATTATTATCTTTATTATTATAATTATCATCATTTTTTCATTATCATTATTAGTATTATTATTATCATTTGTGTATTATTCAAAACATATCCTAGTCTTTAATTCATTAAATTATTGTGTTGCTTATAACTCTTCCAAAAAGTGCACCCATGCTTTTGAGTGGGTATTATAAAACATTAAACGTTTGTGTATGAGCATTGGGAGCAAAATAGAGGTCGACATGAAAATGTTAGGAAATATAACGAAACCATGTCTGCGGTACATAAATCAAAATGCACACATTTCCATATCGAATTGTGCTCGCCTTTCATTTTGCTCAGGTCTCGTCTTATAGCCTCAGTATAGATCTCACAAGTACAAGCAAAATGCAGTGATGCAGTGAACAATATCTTCTGGGTTAGATTACAATTACAATAATACTTTTATCAACCCACTCATTTTCGACCGACCAAAAAGTAAAAATTCTTGAAGTAAAAAACACACAATAACCTGCATTGTTGTCACTTTTTGAAAATAACAGTTATTTACACTCGAATGACTAGATCACCGCTCTCATTTATAATGAAAATGCATTGTTGTGAGTAACAACTATATTTTGCCAGCCCCACATGCTGTTACCGTGAACTTTCCATAGTGCAAAATATTTTGGGATGTATATTATATTTCACGAAGCAATTTTCTCCCCATTTTGGAACGTTATCATGTGAAATCATTATCAACCAATAATTCGCATTTATGCTAATATTGACATAAAATGGGTTAAACTGATATTGATTTCAATCAGAGATTGCGTTCATGTTTATTCATTCTTGATTACCCAAAAAAGATACATTTTAATTTACGTTTTACGTGTTTTAATATCTTTTAGATTTACCTTCTATGAACAACCACAATTTGTAAAGCACTCATGGCAAGCGGGTAAAGCGTCAACATATTGTAATTGATTTGATGTGATTGATTATTCCAAATTTCAGACTCTCAACTACTAACAAAACATTTTTACAGTGGCTGCGTCGAAAACGCGGAACAATATCCCACTTTCCATCAGAGAATTATCCTGCCTTTCCTCTTTGAAAAGATCCCTTCAAACTATTTCTTCCCTACGTAATTAATGTGAAATACCTATTTTGTTATGAGTCTATGCATTTCATGTTTCCATTCTGTAATCTTGTAAGCGCTAGTACGTTTTGCTTATCGCACTCCTAAATGATCAATATTTCATATCATATTTATTATTGATTTGACATCAATAACCATTGGCCGCCTTCTTAAAATATATCAATTGAAATAATGGATATTTGCTTATTATTCAATAACTTGTGCTTTGTAGAACAAAATATCCATATACCTTGTGAATGAAATTTTCCTAATAGATGTAAATACATTGGATTAGTCAGTGTAGTGAGGTTTGCAGTTGTTTTCATGATTCATACACGCTTAGTAGATAGGCAATTATGATAAATGCATAGGAGAATATTGATGAGACGCACTATATGCAATCACTTTAGTAGGGCTACGTCCATGATGAAAACAATGTGGGGGATACGGAACATGAACAACAAAAAAATTATGGACGTCGTGAAATGAAATCGATTTGACATGAGAGGGGAGGCTAATCAATAATTCAATGATATTTTGTAATGATAATAATAATATGGAGTATCTATAATGGGCCACCTCCACTAATATGCCCAAGGCGCAAATTAAAGGAGGGGAGTATGAAATTACACAAAATGAGACAAATTTACAAGTACATTTAACAGAAAATTATTGCAATTTGTCTCCAAAAAAATTGTATAGACGTCGTGAAATGAATCGATTTGACATGAGAGGGAATGCTAATCAATATTTTAATGATATTTTGTAATGATAATAATAATATGGAGTATATGTAATGGGCAAACTCCACTAATGTGCCTAAGGCGCAAATCAAAGTAGGGGAATGAAATTACATAAAACGAGACAATTAAAAAAAAAAATACAAGTAGATTAACTGGAAAATTATTGCAAATTTGTTTCGCAGCAGTTAGGCTGAATTATACTCAGTTTACAGATAACAGCAAAATACATATACGAGAACGGATAGTAAGGTCATGAAAGTGATAAGCGATTGCAAGGTAAAGGCGATTCATGATTCATGTTTGTGGTAGTTTATTTCTTCTCCATTTGTCTCCTTGTTCTGCCGAAGAAAATGTATTAAAAAACGAACTGGTTGAAGACCAAACGGCTATTCAACCTATTACCTGGTAGTTACACACCTTACGTTCAAATCTGCCAATATTTGTATGCCGTTTTTTAATTTACAGGATTTATGTCATAATTGTGACATGTTCAGAAATATCCCCATCAAGCGTTTGATGTCGTGGTTGTCAATAGCAACCTTTGTGCAGAAAACAGGCAATAAATCAATGAACTAGAAAATTGGTCTTAAAGATGAAGTTGAGTTCTGGTCATGCGATTGCATTGTGAAAGAAACGGTGTGGAATCGATCAGAAAAGGTTGATCATCTAGCATATAAGTATTGGTGTGTACTGCAAGGTTCTGGAATCATCAAAATGATAATAAATTTGGCCCAGTCTTGGTAAAGTTACAAGCACTGTACACAGAAAGATGTATACGGGACTACACGAACACGTGGCGTAAAAAGCCGTCCCCCCCCCCCCGATTTTTACGATGTTACATGCATATTTAGAATATGAAGGCATTTGAAGAGCCAAGCTTTTGAGGGAACATGTCTTAACTGATGTTCTTCCACACTTGCATAATAAGAATGAGTAATGCTCACAAATTATTTTTCACCTATTACCAGAACTCAACCTTCTCTTCAAAGCCCCGCTGTCCTATTTGTAGCTACTTGCTCCTTCTTTATAGAAAACTTCCCCAATCGGTGCCTGTTGGTCCCCCATTTTCCTCTTTTTCCTATGTTAGTTGAGAACTGAGTTTCAGTGACCTCGCTGTGTGGTCTAATCCCTTCTGGCCTAGTAGTATTGACGGTCTTTAAATTCTAAATGCCTGGAAAATACATGTTTAATGTATATGGCAACTATTATCATGAACGAAGACTAGATATTAGTGAATGAATGTAGCTCATAAGCTACTTACCGAGGGTGACAATATTCGTCTTTGGCTCAATTACTCTATTGTAAGAGTTAGGGCCAGATTAAGGGTCACGGGTCGTGTAAGGATTAGGGTAAGCCTTTTAGTCTCACCCCTTTTAGCCCTTATGATTTGAGCCCTTTACAAACCTACAACATTTTGAGTAATCAATATTTAAACAAAAAGGTTACCAGTCTAACTGTAGCCATCGGCTTTAGCTTGCAGGGCAGCGTTTCACGAGACCGTCATAAATACAAGTTCGCCTACAACCGTTAGCGATGCGTGCATTAAATTTAACACGTGTTTCAATGGGATGTCGTTGAACTTGTACTTACGACGGTTTCGTACAACGATGCCCGGAGCTCTAAATAAAAAGACCCCCAAGTCGGGTCTATTTGAACACACCTTAGGTGGTTGAACGTGTCTATAATTGATACGGGCGAAAATTTGTTTTTTGGATATACATGCATGTCTGAACTGAAAACAACCTGATACAAAAAAATAGACTTCATATATATTTATTAGTTTAAATCAGTTTTAATTTGTGGCCCTAGTAATTGCCACTGTTACACCCACCCAACGATGAAACGACTTAATTTATGCATTCATTCTAACGAAAGTGTGTACACACTTTACAAATAGCCAAATATTCCAATGTAATTTTTACCTCTAACATTTTTACCTCTGACATTACCTGTGACATTTTTACCTTTGACATTATTACCTCTGTCATATTTACCTCTGACATTTTTACCTCTGAAGTTATTACCTCTGACATTATTACCTGTGACATTATTATCTCTGATATGTTTACCTCTGACATTTTTACCTCTGACATTACCTCTGACATTTTTTACCTAGGACATTATTACCTCTGACATATTACCTCTTACATTTTTACCTCTGACATTTTTACCTCTGACATTTTTACCTGTGACATTATTACCTCTGACATTGTTACTCTGACATTATTACCTCTGATATTTTTACCTCTGACATTATTACCTCTGCTATTATTACATGTGACATTATTACCTCTGACATCTGTACCAGTGACATTTTTACCTGTGACATTTTTACCTGTGACATTATTACCTCTGACATTTTTACTTCTGACATTTTTACCTCTGACATCATTACCTCTGACATTTTTACATCTGACATTTTTACCTCTTACATTATTACCTTCGACATTTTTACCTCTGTCATTTTTACCTGGCACCCTCACTTAAATCACTTTTGCTGGATGTTGTAAAAACTACTGAGCTTCCATTCAACGACCAATATACCTGCTTCGTCATGCATCGAGTGAAGTGCTTTTGAGTCAAATTCTGACCTCGAACGGTGATGAAGAGGCCGGAGCAAAATATTTGTTATTTCATCGTGTATTCATATAACTCAGTTGTTCATATTTTACCACGGTTTTGGATATTACTGTTTCGCCCAAAGTGACCCACTTTTCTCCATTGAGTCAAGTTTATGTATGACATATTGCGGACTAATACGGGCTGCTAAGCCCGTATTTTCGTGACCGCAAGATTTTTTTTCCTTCTTGAAAATTCGTCGAAAGCAAGAAATTAAGGATGCTTTGGGAGAACACAGCATTTTATCAAATATTATTTACGAGGCCTACTTTATGTTCTCTTCTTGTATTTATT